TTTTATCATTACATTATGGAAAATAATGACCTTTATCACAATATGCTCATTTTTTGAGAAGGACCTGTATAACTAATGAAAAAACGGCTAAACGCCATACTTCCAGCCAAGGAAACCTGATGTGGCTAGCGAACGCGCTACCACCTGGTCAACAGAAATAAAACAACTTACCAGTTGAAGTGCAATTGTTTATAGGATACCAGCTTGTGCAGCCTCTGGAGGGCGAGACAGTCCCGCAGCTCCAACTGTAGTCTTGAGGCTACCAGCATCAAGCAAAAAAAAGTAAACCTCTTACCACCTGCATGCAAGAAGATGAAAGGGACTGGGCTACTGTTGTCACCTGCTTAAATAGACTCACCGGTGTCACCAGGGATCACACGTAATTTTTGGCATAAAATACTCTACCTGCGCATGCGCAAGAATGATCATTCTGTGCTTTAAGTATCGCCTCTGGCGGTCAGTAGGGATGAAATGGAACCCCGTTGACCCTCACCCTCTGAGACCGAACAGTTAAACAGTCCACTTCTATTGGGGCAGAAAGCGGAGCTTTAAATCATCACTCTGAGCAGGGGGCATAGCTTTTGGTCGCTCTGAGCAGGGGGGCGGAGCTTCCTTACTCAGACAGTTTCTAGGTGTCCTTAGAGAGTTCTTCAGCTTGTTTAGATTTGAACATAGAATGGATCAGAACCAGTTCAGGATATTCAAGGGTCTCTGTGGTTCTGTGCCTTAACCTGTCTGAACTGGACCTCCAAGGAGAGATGCCAGTAAGGAGCAGCTGGGGGACTTCTTTGGAGGGTCCAACTCCTACGCTGAGTGTTACCCTGCTACGTGAGACACACTCAGAGACACACACACAAACAGACACACACAGAGAGACACACACACACAAACAGACACAAACACAGAGACACACACACACAGAGACACACAAACACAGAGACACACACATACACACACAGACATACACACAGAGACACACACACACACACACACAGAGACACACAAACACAGAGACACACACACACACACAGAGACACACACAAACACAGAGACACACACACACAAACAGAGACACACACACAGACATACACATACACACACAGAGAAACACACAACGAGACACACATGCATGAGTGTTACACACACTCACGTAATCTCTGTGTATCTCTGTGCAGGATGGACGACCTGGCAGTGGACAGTGATGAGGAGGTGGACTACAGTAAGATGGACCAGGTGACTCCATCTCCCAGCATGCAGCTGTGCACAGAGCTGACAAGAAGCTGATGCAGGTTCTGTTTGTGTTTCAGGGGAATAAAAAAGGTCCGTTGGGTCGTTGGGACTTTGACACCCAGGAGGAGTACTCGGATTACATGAACAACAAGGAGGCCCTGCCAAAGTACGTCACCCAGACCCTGGGTCAGGACTGGCAGGCTGTGTGACCTGTGTTTGAGTTCATGTTGTGTGTCCCTGCAGGGCTGCCTTCCAGTACGGCATCAAGATGTCTGAAGGCAGAAAGACCCGACGCTTCAAGGAAACCAATGAGAAGGCTGAGCTGGACCGGCAGTGGAAGAAGATCAGCGCGGTGAGAACCAATCACTGACACAGGAAGTTCATATGACACATAGGAAGTTCGTACACCACACGGGAAGTTTATATGACACACATGAAATTTATATACCATACCATTTTATTGATAGAGCACTTAAAACAGCGACAAGGCCAACCAAAGTGCTGTACAGACAGAAAAACAGGCAACACACAAAGCAAAATACAAAATGAGGTAAATAAAAAATATAGACATAAAATCGATGCAGATAATAAATATGACGACAAACTAGGGCTTTAACAGACTACTCGAGTAATCTACACATTGATTCCTAGGACACCTATCGAGGTTTTGTTGGTTTCTTTTTTTTGTAAATAATGACCTTTATTGCGGTTTATTTATTTTTTTATCTTTAGATCCTATGATGTCATCATCTACTCGAGTTCTACTCTAGTTTTATTATGTTAATGTTGAGTTTAAAAATTATGTAGTCGTACAACCCCTACGACAAACCAGTGTGGAGCGTAGCGTACAGGTTCAAAACACAGATCCTCTGGTGTTGAAAGCTACTGAATAGTAGTGGGTTTTTAAACAGGACTTGAAAACCGAGAGGGAGGGGGCCTGTCTGACAAGCAAAGGTAACTCGTTCCAAAGTCTTGGCTCTGCGACAGAGAAACTGTTTAGCGATTTGTAGACATACATGAGTATTTTGAACTGGATTCAAAAGTGAACCGGTAACCAGTGCAGTGAGGCCAAAACTGGTGTAATGTGCTCTCTTTTGCCTGTACTGGTTAAAAATGGGGCTGCTGCATTCTGGACCAGTTGTAGTCGTGCAATGGAGGTCTGACTGATACCAAACAGGAGTGAATTGCAGTAATCAAGCCTAGATGTAATGAATGCATGTGTTACTGTCTCCAGGTTCTTTTTGGACAATATGGGCTTCAGTTTAGACAGCCGCCTCAGTTGGAAGAAACATGATTTAACAATCATGTTTACATGATTGTTAAGTTTCAGGGAAGGGTCCATTATCACTCCCAGATTAGTGACTCTTTGTTTTTCTGACAGGGTTAGAGCGGAGAGGTTGATGCAGTGGTTTGTGATCGTGTCGTTGGGAGGGAACAACATGACTTCAGACTTCATTTCATTGAAACTTAAGAAGTTTAAAGCCATCCAGTCCCTGATGTCAGCCAGGCAGTCGAGCAGCGGTTGAATAGAGCATGTACCATTGTGTCTTAGGGGGAAGTAAATTTGACAGTCGTCGGCATAGAAGTGAAAGGGCATGTTGTTTCTGGAAAATAACACCAAGTGGCAGCAGGTATAAAGAGAGTAGGAGGGGACCCAGGATGGACCCCTGCGGAACCCCCCATTTAAGCTCTGCCGCTGTAGAACTAAACTCCTTGATGGAGACAAAAGGATCTGTCAGTGAGGTAAGATCTGAACCAATTGAGGGCTGATCCTGTGACGCCCACCCTCTGCTCCAACCTAGCAATGAGGATCTCATGGTCGATGGTGTCAAAGGCGGCTGTGAGGTCCAACAGGACAAGCAACACAGAATCACCGGTATCAGTGGATCTGAAGATGTGGTTAAAGACCTTCAGCAGGGCAGTGTCAGTGCTGTGGAGAGGTTTAAAGCCAGATTGGAAAAGCTCTAAAATGGTGTGATCCTCCAGGAAGCACTTCAACTGGGACTCCACTGTTTTCTCCAGTAGTTTAGAAACAAATGGGAGTTTGGAGACAGGCCGGAAGTTGGAAACGACTTGAGGGGTCAAGGTTTGGTTTTTTCAGGAGAGGCTGGACAGCAGCATGTTTAAAGGATTTTGGCACCACGCCAGTGGATAAACTACTGTTTACTATAGCACATATGTGTCACATAGGAAGTTTATATGACACACAGGAAGTTTATATGACACACAGGAAGTTTATATGACACACAGGAAGTTTATATGACAC